CCGCGGCACCCACACCTTGTCGACAAGCCAGGGCCCCGATAGGGAGCTCCACCAAGGCCCCAGCCACCGCGCGGCCCCCGCGCCCGTGGCACGCCCTCCACGCTTCGTGGCTCCATAGGGGCTTCGTGGCCCCCAGGCTTTCCACCGGCCCATGCGTGCCCCCGCACCGTCCACCGCCTGGGGGGGCCCCCGCATCACACGCTCTGGCCCAGGGAGCCCACCGAAAGGCCCCCCATTTCCACCGAATGCGTTTGACACATGGCGTGCACACTCATTTCGGCCCATGCCAATCGTCGACAGGGAGTCACCGACCCGCGACCTTTTTGCACATTTGGTCACACCGCTAGGGGCCCAGGAGCACAAAGTCCACGTGGCGTCCCACGACAATGTCGGCACACCCTCACACGCTTCGTGGCCCCATAGGGAGCCACCGAAGGCCCCAGTGACCGTTCACATGCGACGCATTTCGGCACACCCCTCACACGCTTCGTGGGGACGCAGGGATACCAAAGGGAGTGCCACCACATGCGTCCCCCGCATCCATGCCGGGACACCACTCACACGTTTCGGGGCTCAAGGAGATCCACCGAAGGCCCCAGTGCCACCGTCCACATGCGTCCCCCAAGTTTGGCAACCCCTCACCGCTTCGTGGCCCCATAGGGAGTTGCACAAAGACCCCAGTGCCACCGTCCACAGGCGTCCCCCGCACTCATTTCGGCAGACCCCTTTTACATGTTGTGGCCCCATAGGGAGCTCCACCGAAGGCCTCAGCGTCACCGTCCACATGCGCTCCCGCATCCTGTTCGACACCCCTCACACGCTTCGTGGGCGCATAGGGAGCGCCACCGAAGAAGATATTCACAATTGCCGTACGAACTTCTGCATATGGTTGGGTCCTTCGCCAGGCTATTTTTTATATTCGGGTGGTGCCGGGGAGGTCATCACAAGGAGGGTCACCAGTTCTTCGTGGAAGCGCCATCTCTTCGAGGAAGTGGGACCCTAAGGCATTCCGAAACCCTGCAAGACAAACCCAAACGCCAAATCAACTCCTCGGCTTCAATCCAAACGCCCTAGAAACTCCTCGAGGTGCAACGGTTGACAGCTCAAGGAGCTCCTTGGGCGTTTGGGGTCGTCTTGCAGGGCTTCGGAGTGTTCTTAGGGTCCCGCTCCCCCGAGGAAAGGGCGCTTTTTCTCGAGGACGTGGCGACCCCCCTCGTGGGTGGCCCCCTTGGCACGGCCCCACATACGGTCCCAGGGCACAGGAACGGCTTCCGGATGTTGCATCGGGGCTCAAGAGACGGGGGCCGGGGCCAGCCAGAGTGCGCGGGATATTGCAGGATCCTGCAGAGCCAGGGTTTCATTGACCCGAGTTTGGGCGCAGGGCAGCATTTTGCAGGATCCTGCAAAGCTGACCGATCTGGATTGACCCGGGTCAGTGCGTCCCCGATTGCAACTGGTGGAAACCCAGCGACGGTTTATGCGACGCCTGGTTCTGCAAGTCAGGGCTGAAACGAAAGTGCCCGCCCTGACTCAATTTCCTGGAGAGGGGCGGCGGCGGACGACCAGTCGGCGGCGATGAGGTCGTCGAGTCACAGGCGAGCCCCCCATGGCCGCCTCTCTCGAGGGGGAAAGGAACGAGGAGGAAGGGAGGATTCAGAGGAGGGAGTTGAGCCAACGGTAGCTGGTTCGGGGGCCTCCTCGTCGCCACGGCTGGGCGCAGCTCGGGAAACTGGTGCATTTGCGAGAGCCGGGAACCGATTTGAATTGCTGGTCTCTCGACCCTGTTCCGAGGGAGGAAGGCTGGAGGAGGCAGAGCTACGAGGGAAAGGACGAGGGTGGAAGAGGAGAGGTACGAGGGATGATGGATGGATGATGAGAATGGACGACGACGACAAGACGACGATGATGATGATGATGAGATGATGACGACGACGAACGACGACGATTGATGATGATGATTGGATGCTGATGATGATGAGATGATTGATGATGAATGAGAGAGAATATGATGGAGGAGGGGGAGGAGGAGGAGGAGGAGGAGGAGGAGGGGAAGGAGGAGGAGGAGGGGAGGAGGTGGGGGAGGGAAGAGAGAGGAGGAGGAGGAGGAGGAGAGGAGGAAGGAGGATGGGGGAGGAGGAGGAGGAGGAGGAGGTCGTCCGCCAGCGGTTTTCGCTAAAGCGAGAGCCACTACTTGCACGCGCGCGACGGCCGTTGGCATCAGAGCAGTTGCGAAGAGTGACTCAAATTTGTTCTTCCAAAGCGACCTCGCTGGGCATGTGTAGCATGTTGAATCTCTTCGCCGTGAATCTCGCCGATAGGAAGCCTACCCTTGTTGGATCAGCGAACCACGTTCTTGAGCGAAGCGGAGCGCCTCCTTGCCGCCCAGGGGCATGTTCTTGTTGTCCTCGCCGTCTCTGGGCCTCCTCGCGGAGGACCCGGACGCCACGGCGGGGTCCGCGCGGAGCCATACCGTGGATTCGAGCGGTGGGCTCCATGCAGAAGACCCACGCGAGCCCTGAACCAGGGGGGTCGCGGCAGGAGATCCACGAACCTCTCCAGGCCCCGGCGGGATGTCGACGCGACATCAGGCTCTTGGCACGAGCGTCTCGGCGCTCCTCGCATCCCCACCCTGTTGCCCGGTTGCCTCCTCGCTTGTTTCTGCGATATGTTGGTCTTTCTTGTGCTTCGGCAGTGAGCGGAGCATCGCTTCAGGGCTGGGGGCAACCAGCGCAGGCGGCGGCCAGGTGGAGGCGCAAGGGCAGGGTCCGCCTGTGGCAGCGGCGCACCCAAGGGGGCGCGGCGCCTGGCAGCGGGCGGCCCCCCGGGCGGCCCGCGGAGGCCAGGGAGCTTGGCATGGCCCCGGCCAGGCGCTGCGTGCAACGCCTGGGCGCCCGGGGGCGCCCAGGCCTGGCTGCGCCTCGACCTCGGCGTTGCCCGCTCCACCGAGCCTTGGTCCCCTCGCCCCTCTCCTCCTCCTCCTCCTCCCCCTCCTCCTCTCCTCCTCCTCTCTCCTCCTCCTCCTCCTCCTCTCCTCCTTCCTCCTCCTCCTCTCTCCATCCTCTCCTCCATTCCCCTCTCCTCCCTCTCCCCTCCTCCACCTCCCTCCTCCTCCTCCCCTCTCCGCCTCTCCTCCTCCTCCTCCTCCTCCATCTCCTCCTCCTCCATCTCCTAGGGGAAGGGAACCCCACCTTCCCCCTCAGAGGTCGTAGGGGGGTGGGGGTTTTGTTGGCACGTGCCCCCCCCCCCCCCAAGAAACCTGCTGCTGAGGTCCGCGGGCGCCAGGCGGTCAGTGGGCAGGCAGACGCCTGATCCGCACGCGGTGGGGTGCACGGGGAGCGGAGTGGGGGGCACCAGCGACATGGGGCGTTCCAGGAAGTGCACCTACAAAGGAAAAGGAGGAGGAGGAGGAGGAGGAGGAGGAGGGGGAGGAGGAGGTGGAGGTGGAGGGAGAGGGGGAGGGGGAGGAGGAGGAGGAGGAGGAGGAGGAGGAGGAGGAGAGGAGGAGGAGGAGGAGGAGGAGGAGGAGGAGGAGGAGGAGGAGGGGAGCGGAGGGGGGGGGGGGGGGGCAGCAGGGCGAGGAGGACGGTGTGTGAGGGAGGGGAAGGGGCAGGAGCCCGCTCAGACCAGGGGAGAGCGAGAGAGGCAGAGGCCCGCTCAGGCCATGAAAGCCAGCGCGGGGGCGCCGTGGGAGAGCTCGCAGGCGAGGGGCCGTCGAAAGCTGAAGCAAGTTCAGGATGAAATCGGAGGCTAATAGACCTCCTACCCTGACACGTCGATGAGCGAATTGGCCGTTCTCGGTTCGCGAGAGGGCGTCGCGGCCGTCATCTTTGCGGGTCCAGGTCCGTCGGTTTCGGTCCCAGGCCGTTTTCACTAAAGGCTGGTTTGCTAAAAGGAGGTTTGTCCACCGCCGATGAAAAGCCGGTCCTGGGGGATGGGTCGAGACCTTCAGGGGTCCACGTCGTAGCAGAGTTCATGGCGTTGGGGCCAAAGCCGCTCTTTCTCACCCACTGGTTGGGGCTAGACGAAGGGGGGTGGACTGGAGAGAGGGAGGAAGGAGAGATAGATAGAGAGAGAGAGAGAGAGCCGTGCACGTCCGGGGTGCATTGGCACTGGCGTGGGAAAATAGTTACGCAGCGTTGGGCTAATGCTGGCGCATCGAAGCAGAAGCGCTCGGCCGCTGCGCGCCACTCGCGCACCACTCGAGCGCGAAGAGTGGGGGTGCGAAATCTGCCGCATGCAACAGGTTCCGACACCCGATGCCGGGCGCTTTCCCCGACGTACGGGAGCATGTTTTTTCGAATTCTGGCAAGTTGATTTGCATGGACGTGGGGGGGCCTGAACCTGAAGTAAGCCGCAAACGGCTTGACGTGTGGAAATCACGCAAGGCGAAAGGCACTTGCACGCTCGTATTCGATTGAAGAGGGGCGAGGGGGGGAGGGGGGGCGACTGCCATGCAAGCAAACTTGCTTGAATCTGAAGAAAAACATGCTCTAGTCGCCCGCCTCTGGCGCCTCCTCGGGAGGCGCCAGGAGAATCGGCCGAGTGAGCCAATTTGCTGACACTCCCTTTCATGACGTCGTCCGGTCGCCTCGCCCCCCCTGCACCCCACCCTTCTCGGGATGCAACTCCTGGGAGGCTGAGCGCAGCATCGGCGCTGTCGACCAGTCCCGTTTCATCTGGCTGAATGGACCCTGGGTTGGGCTTCTTGGCCCTTCAATCGTTCTTGCGAATATAATATACCTCCCAGCAGTTGCCATGAAGTCGGACCTGTCCCTCTCCGGGGGGATACTCAAAAATAGTAAAGCAATAGCCTTGGGACGATGTTTTGACCATGCTTGTTTTTTTGTTTTGTGCATGTGTTGGCTACTTCTGATGTTCCGTCCCAATTCGGCCTGCAGGGGGACAGGCCCGACCTAACAGTTGCCTCCAAAACCTTCGGGCGCGGGCGGCGGCGCGCCGCCAGGGACGGGCCCGTGGACGCCGCGTGCTGCCTCTTCTGGATG